TAGTTTAGTTTATTAGCTTCGCCGACAGGCAGGGACACCGCAACAGCTTGCGCCGATTACTGCGGTCCCAGTAAACCCACCCATCCCAGCCCAGGGTAGGACATCCATCACACAGTAATCTCGTGTGTGGGAAATTAACGTCTCCTACCCCTAACCCTACAGGAGACGGGACCTCCATTTATTCGTCCCTATCCGAGAGGACTAGAATATCCAACCCTTTCTTGATGTTAAAGAAAGGCGGCATATTCTTCTCAATTATTTTAAGACCTTGAGTGTTGGTTCGGCCGGGGACCAACTAAGAAAGGTTATTCATCTCAGTCGTTTGTTTATTGTTAGCAAACGTTAATGTTTGTGGAAATGAGGCCATGGTTTGTTGTTGAATAACATGGACATCTGTCTTTCAAGGGTTTAAAAAAAAATGCAACTCGTAAAGTTCCTTTGTACAATTTTGACAGATTCTTACGTTGTAAGGTGTGCTGTGACCGAAATGCCAAGCTTTTTCTGGGACGGTGGTTAGCCTAGCGATTGAGACAGAAACATTAAGAGATATTTCCTGTTAATAGCTACTTCGTTTACCTGTTTCGCTATTATTTTTACAAACCACTCCAGCATTAGTCCAATGCGCACTTCTGTATGTGATCAGTTCATAGGTACAGTTTGACAAAGACAGTTCGTTGCCAGTGCATTTCACACTGTCCATCCAGGTTAACGTGAAGTAACGTGGCGGGTAAAAACATTTATACAGAACTGTCAATACATCTGGGTACCCAAGCTGTCTGCAGGCGACGCGGCCATCTTCTTGATCCCAGCCGAACATCCCAATCTGGCCCCAGATCCCTGCGTATTCCACTTGAACGCACCCAGCGTAAGGTACTGAGGCGTGGGCGAGACGAAGTGGTAAGGGATGAGCTTAAAACAGACAAAGAAGTAAGTCTCATTGCACCAATGTTGATTCGTGCTTTCAATAAAAACTTTAAAGGAATGCATCTGTGCACGATTCTAAATGCATACTTCACATCCTTACAACTAAGATCTGATCAGAAATTAATAATAATAATAATTTCACAATAATAATTTAATATTTATATTGCGCAAATTAACATATTTGGAAATGATCGAATGCGCATCACAACACTTTTCAAGGGAAATTTGCCGGACTGCATCAGCAGTTTACGATCAATGGAAGGAAACTTATTTGAAGATGTCCCCTCCCTCCCAATTCCCAGTAAACAGGCCAGACCACATCACAGTAACCTCGTGAGTGGGTTCTTTAACGTCCCCTGCCTAACCAAATTAACTAATATATAGATGAAAGAGACGGGAACTACGGTTTATTCGTCCTTATCTGAGAAGACTAGAATGTCTATCCATTTCTTGATACTATAGAAAGGTAGCATATTCTCTTCAGTTATTTTAGGACCTTGAGTGTTGGTTCGACCGGAGCTCGAACCCTCGACCTCCCGCACAACAGTCCGGCGCTCTAACCAATTGGCCTAAGAGGGAGGTGGTTAACTTCCACAACGACTTGGTCTTCTTTGCAACTGCTCAGTCGAAGGAATTTCGCGCATAGGGGGAGTGTTGGGTGACATTCCAAAGAGCAACGGCGAAGGGGACATCACGACCCGGATTTCATAATAGAAAAAAAAAGACACACAAGATCCAAAACAAACTTACTGACTGTCATGTTGAGTTTTTCACAGACCACTCCCAAAGCACCTTTAAGCCCCTTTGTACAAGGAGCTCTTTCCCAGTTGTAATCACACTCAGCCAAGCTGCTTTCATTTCCATCACATCTGACACTGGTCATCCCATAGCAAGTATTTCCAGGCCCAAAAGCATTATTACATGGGGTGGCAATGGCTTGTGGGTAACCAAGCTGTCTGCATATCACGTGGCCAACATTTATGTTTATACCGTAATCACAGACTCGACCCCAGTTTCCATTGTACTTCACTTCTACTCGGCCAGCATACGATCCTGGGCCATCAGTTAAGTTCACAGTTATCCTAAACGCTGAATTGCAATAAAAGAAAAAAAGATGAATATTGAAGTATTCATACGAAAATGAATAAAACAATACATAGTTTACTTCATGTGTAGTTAATTCTTACGTGCTGCCAAAACTAAAAATGATTTTGTAAAGCTAATAATTTGATTATATCAACAAAGTTGAAATGGTAAATTGGCCACCGTTGCGATTATAAAAGCTGACGTTTCTAGCGTTAGCCCTTCGTCGGAGCGAATAGAGGAATTGTGGGTTGTGTGTGCTTATAAAGGCAGAAAATGGAGCTACGTGATTGGTGGGAACATAGCAATGAGAAAAACACGAATAAATTAGTGGAATGAAAAGCGTTCGTTGATACCCAGAGGAGAGTGATCACTTTCCACGTGATGTTCAGTAGCCAATCAGGTCACACCTAAACATCTTTTCACTTTTTGCGATTTGGAGAGAGGTATATACTAAAAGTTGAGGAATTTCGATTGGAAGACTTTACTTTGACAGAAATAATTTTATACAGATTCAAAGATACATAAACGAAGATTGTTCGTGGCGAGAATTTTTTGAAGGTAAGATTTATTTGTGTTGTTTCTCTTCTCTCAAAGGAGAGGCAGTAAAATCGCCATAACTTGTAAATGTTAAGAGGTGCATTCGGGTTCATTGCAATATTTAGCTTCAGCATATATTCCAGCATCTTTCTCTGTCAATTTTGGGAGTATTCATCGCGTTTGATAGAAGTTAGAAGCATTTGAACACGAGCAAAATTTGTCCGAAGTTGAACGTTGTGCGTTATGACTAAGTCGTAGTAGTAGTGGCCGGGTGATCTGAGACTTGCAAAGAGCGCCACACGAAAAGATAGAACTATGGCTAAAAGAACTTCATAGAGATGCAAACAAATCGTCAAACTAGCTAAAATTACAGTATTCAGTTTAAGAAACTATGTTGGAGAAATTTTCAAGAGACAAAAATTCAATAAAAATAACAATATTTGCAGGAATGAGCAAACGTGGCTGTCAACCTCAGGGAGATACTCCGGGGAAAAAACAGATCTAAAATAAACAGGTGGAGTTCTTCAAGGAAAGTTTTGTTCGCTGAAAAAGATGTTAGTAAATGACATTATGCTGCAAAAAATCGACACCAAACGCATTGGTAGTTGTGGCATCCATAAGAGAGCACGGCACCGAGAGCTCCGAACGCGGTGAAGGTCAGCTCAAATGAAGCGAGATTCTCTAAATCACCCATGATCCTTTCCGAACCGCGATCACCCTCCTCTGGTTGATACCTGTGGGATTTAGACTGCCGGTTTGAAAGATGAGCTTTTAATTTTTTAAAGAGTTTTACGGCTTTCCGTGCTACCTAAGTGTAAGGAAAGACCGCAGATTGCCATATGTTGTTTAGAATGATTAGGTAAATTAAAATGTCTAGCGACTGGTTTCGATGTGTCCTTGTCATTCTCCTCCACGTCGCGAATGTCTTCTCGGAATCGATCACCAATAACGTAGCTCCATTTTCTGCCTTTAAAAGCACACACAACCCACAATTCCTCTATTCGCTCCGACGAAGGGCTAACGCTCGAAACGTCAGCTTTTATAATCGTAATGGTGGCCAATTTACCATTTCAACTTTGTTGATATATTCAAATTATTTCGTTACCCCGACCGACGCAGCCCCAAACAGTTTCTTTAGAAACTATCAGCCTTTATTCATTTGCAAAGCTAAGCCGAGGTCACTTCAGATCCAGCTTTAAGGAGCTAATTATGAGAAGATGACACAAGCTTTCAGATTTTTAAATCAAAAACGGAAAGATCAGTCGCAGAAGTGGCATGCCTTTAAAAGGATATTACACAGAACCACCTAAAGAAGGCAAAGAAAGCATTGGCTTTGCCGCAAAAAAATTAAAAATGAACCCTTTACACTCCAACATCAGTATGCATATTCTCCATACCGTTCTTTATACATTTCCTAATGTGCGGAGAAAGAGAATTTTTTTGAACAATCAAGCTTCTTTACTTGGTAATCATTTCCTTTATTCTTGTGACTTCAACGTTTGATACTGGGATGATATTTATTATAAGTAGAAGCTAGATGTTATTCACTCTTAAGGACAAAAGACGGAGTCAAACAAAAACATTACCTTGTGTCTCCAAAATTACCATGAAGAAACTGATCCATAAGCTGCACATGATTAGTTTACGTGGCTGAAAGAAATGACACAACATTATTTTAAAAGTTTCGTTGTGGGTGGCCATGGGCGCGCGGCCAGGCATTTTTCATACTCCCAGAATTCTAACCAATCTACGACATTACACGTTGAATCAAAATCATATTTCTCCATTAATTCGCAGTCACATAGTGAGTGTTTAAGTGAAGAGAGAAAAGGACGAGTCGTGTCTCGTGACACAGTCCTATTAGCCGTTAATTAAGAACTTATGTTAAGCCCTAAACTCGATACTCATCAGAATGTTCAGCTATCGATATGAGCTGGCAAGTGCACTCAAAAGTCAAAAGGGAAATGCCATGAAATGTCTCGAACGGAGGAAATATGTGCAGGCGGAATATCAAATTCCTACACTTGTTAATGGAAACTTGTCTTTTCAGTCGGCAGTTACTCTCAAGTTTTAAAAGCTGACAAATAAACAGGAAATTATATTTGCTTTCCAAACAAAGAATTGTTAGCCGTTCTATAGCCACTTCGATTCTTGATCGCCGATAACTCGATGGTTTAATTTAACAAAACTCAAACGCACGAAACAATATTTCGTTATTTTCAGCGAGGCAAAAGTAGCTCTACACGAACAGCAAAGCGATGAAAAATCTGCGGCTGCGATGTGGATAGAAAAACCTATCAAAGTATTTTGAAGAAGTCATCTGCACCACGCGATATCTGACGACAAAGAAAATGAAGGGGCGTGTTTACAATAGAGTTTGTTATCATTCACGCTGTATAGCAAGAAGCTCGTGAAGATTTTTAAATTATTTGATTTTGAAACAGAAAGACTTAACTATTTGACTGCAAGTGTGAGCGGAAGACACGACCCCACCACACCGTTTGCAAGTTTTCTCATGAGTTAACAATAGCAGAGAGAAAGATTTGCAACCACATGGCCACATCGAAAGCGAATAGTAACGGAGGCTTTATTAACGTACAGAAAACCAAGTACACTTTACTCACCCACCGATCGTCAAATATCCACAGAAATCGGAACAATTGGTAATAAATGGCACAACAGTTTCCTTCTGAAACAAAAATCACAGCTTGTAGCGGTTGTTCTGAAGTAACCTTTTAACCCTCGGCATGTAATACGAATAAAGGTTTTAATTCAGTATGCCGCCGGTGTCAATCAGTCACACTGACTTTGCACTCGCGTCCAAGCCCACTCCTGCGAGTCACCCCTCAGGCACCCAAGATCGTTTTACAAGGAAAGAAAACCTGACCCGTTTTTTAATGTGTTTCTCTATCACCGGTGTTGTTTTTGAGTCGATTCAGCGTGATAATTAATTCATACTGTTTCGAGTTTAACTTTCAATGTAGGGTTCTAAACGCAAACTTTTTCTCGTTCGAGTATATTGAGCTTGGGTCATCTGTGGTTTCTCCCCTTATCGCCAAGTGCCTGTTTAGGGACCTTTGGATATATTGTTTGAGAGATAATAAACCGCGTATTTTCCATTTGCACTGTAAAGTACTACTGAAAACCATTCAAATAAAATTCAGTAACGTCCATTCTTCATAACTACTGATGGACTGTTTAATGTTTATCCTCAAAGAGGCGAAAGGGTTGATGGTCATAACTCCATGATCAAGACTTAACTCACCACCTTTCAATTAACTTTCAGTATAGTGTCGGCGTATTTACCATATTTAGTGATGTGTTTAGAGAGCCAACCTCCACTTAATGAAAAAATTTATCTGAAATCTGCGTGATAAGATAACTGAATGAAGAGAACTTGCGATGTTCAAGTCCTCTTTACCGGAGAGAATGCCTACTACCACGATAGGTAACAGAAATGTGATAAAAGAAGAGAATAGATTGATCCTGAGCTAATTGCAACGCGAGAAAACCAGTGAAAGTAACTGACACGATTGACACGAACGCGAAACGTAAAAAAAATCATCTGGGTTGTTCCCCCGAGGATTCGAACCCAACTTAGTTCGATTTCAAGATGTCTGGGATTTTCTACCGACTTAAATTTACTCTCTTTGTTACGTCTTCCAGCGAAAAATAAAACTCTTATTTATCACACGCCCCTCTCAGACTGTCAAATCAGACGGTGATTTCGGAAAAAGCTGTCTGATTGTAGAAAGGACTTGAGTCCTCAGTATTGACTTTGTTTGTTACAAAAGACAAGCATAATGTACACGATGATTTCTGTAAAAATAAACATAATGACTTTTCACAAGAAATATGTATCTTAAAAGTAAACCAAACTATTCTCAAACTATTTTAACAACCTCGTTTCAATCATTGTTGATAAACGAAATAGAGAGAATACAGATAATGAAAATTGTTGCATGAATTCACCTATTGTCTGGCTTATTGTCAGGTATTTCACAAGCTTTAGGAATTTAATTCTCAGTGACTTTATTTGGGTTTCGCGTCAGTTGATGTACAGTTTCCCTGTCACGCCACTTATACTAGAACAGATTCCGCAAATTCTTCTGTAAAAGTTTCCACCTCTAGAAAACAATCTATTCTTTCGCGATCAAAGTATTTTGCAATTAAGAAAACGATTCAGCGATGTCAAGCAGTATTCGAACTGGATGAACAATGGAAAGTTTATTGAATCGAGTTAAAATTTAAAAAGTAAAACTTTTCATAAGCTTTCTTTGTTGGACTACCGGATACCGTGCTTTAGATGCAAATATTATGACGAAGCTTGGTAATTATGTTGTGTTATTTCAACTAACGCCATTTGATTACTTTCCCACGCTACGAATTGTTGCAATCACGTAACACTTTCAGTATCTAGTATTATTAGATATTCATCAGATAAACGTATGTGGTAAGAACATGACATTCTTGTTACTTTATCAAGTTTTCATTCTTTAAATGCTGTAATTTTCGTATCATGGCTACACAACTTTAGTCACGCAAAATCCAATTGTTTAGTTTGTGTGTTTGATTAAGCATGCAGCGTTTAGACAAAATTATTGCATCTCTTAGGACTAAACCGAAGCTTGCTACACCCAAACCTTCTGGATTGTAAGGCACCTTGCAAACTGCGCTAACTACAAATCTTTTTCCATTCAACCTCCAGAAGTAATTCCCAAATCTGTATTATCATAAAATCGTCACTACTTGGTTTTTTTTTAAATATTTAAATATTCGTTCGACAAGAACATAGCAGATTATCAATATCCAAAAAGCCTTTGCTTATTGTTAAATTTCCCAAGGGTATAAATGTTAAGTAACTGAGCTATCTGCAATAAAACTAACTCCATACCCTATTTCGGAGTCTTCCTCGAATCATGAAACTTTCTTGAACCTCGTGATGCGTTCAGCAATAGGGCAAAATTTTGAAGTCGATCGATAATTACTTGCGCAGCAACATTTTTCACACGGCCAGTAACTTCCTTTGCAGCGAATCTGTTAATATAGCTGTGGTGCGTCGTTTGAAGATTCCGTCCACTTCGTAAAGTGAAGCGAAGTTCATTAATTTGGCCTCTTCGTCCTAATTACTAAGTGAAGAGGAGAACTGGTGACTAGCACATTTAACGATTCCAGTGTTCCTCGTAACTTTGCTAATATCCAGACTAACCAATCGATTTTGGGGGCTTTTTAGATAACCAACCGAAAAACTGGTAGAAATTATTGAAAAGTTTAAAATTACTTCCGACAAATTTAGATATGGTGCAAAGAAATACCTAGGGAAAAGGTTAAGCTTGTTTATCACAGCTTGTTTGGCCTTAGCCGGCCAACAGATCCTACATATCACGGGTAATGTTAATTATCAGAGGTCATTTTCAAGTCAATCAGTGTTGGTACACACGTGTTAGGTTTGCTGTTGATTGTAACCAACCAGAACAATTCTTATTTCTTCTTCTCAATAACGGCTGGGAAATGCCTTCCAAAAAGACTGAATCGCTTCTCAGAATTAACAATTTTAAATTCCACCGGTCTTAAACTGAATAATCTTGACGGCTTAAATTGATGAGCATGTTATGCTCAGCCAATCAAGCCTTTTGATGATAGCTTTGTAGTGCAAACGCAGGAAGAAACTCTAAAACAAGTCAAGAATTTTCAACTTCTAACCCCTAAGAGTGACTATATATATTCAGTATATACAGAAAAAAGGAAACGATCACCAGTTTACAAGCTCCTGATTGTTAAACAAATTCTCCTTGTTAGTTCTGTTGGGGACGTTAATTTAACAGTGTGGAGAATATGAATAATTATGCTACGATAGAAAGGGTTCGAGGACGTGACTTAAACACTGTTGATAGTTTGAGAGCACAAAATACATGAATAACAAAAAAAAAAGAAAAATTTTTTTTTTTTTCGAACTTAAATTTTAAGAATATTATGTGTCGTATGATGTGCGATCCTCGCAGTAGATAGCGCTATTTATGCAATAGCGAAAATCAGACCTGAAAAAAATCAGGCCTGTACGGGACTCGAACCACTGACCTCTGCGATACTAGTGCAGCGCTCTACCAATTGAGCTAACAAGCCAACTGGGAGCAGGCCGTTAAGTTGATTCGTAATAAACCCGTGAAAGTGAGGGTTTATTACGAATTCACTTTCACGGGTTTATTACGAATCAACTTAACGGCCTGCTCCCAGTTGGCTTGTTAGCTCAATTGGTAGAGCGCTGCACTAGTATCGCAGAGGTCAGTGGTTCGAGTCCCGTACAGGCCTGATTTTTTTCAGGTCTGATTTTCGCTATTGCATAAATAGCGCTATCTACTGCGAGGATCGGTCATCATACGTATCTAATACCGCAGTTCAAAATATATGAACTTCATATATTCATTGCATCTCATATTATGTGTCGTTAATTATCATGAACAATAAATGATAATAGAATAATAAGCTTAAGATAATCCTGAAATAACGATTTGGTATTCACTAACCGTACGTGCTAAAGAGTCATAACTATTAAAGATAAGAAGTCGTGATAAACAATCATTTTCCCTTTCTATGCCTTTATATTTGACTTACTACCGCAGGGGAAGGAAAACACATAATGCATTGAATATATGTAGAAGGAAAAAGTCAGAAATTCATCATTTCAATTACGATTTATTCATTTACTCATTTTCTTCAACAGAAACGCTAGGTTTTGAAGGTGAAATCGGATCAAGTAATTTTTACATGACTGTCAGTGTTGCCATTTTCATAGAAATTTCAGAGCTGACTGCTGGGGTCCCTGGGTAGGTTCTCATGTTTATTTTCCCATTTCACACGTAACTTGGGCGCAGACTTATCATTTTGTTTTATTATTTTTTCTTTAGCTCAAAACCACAAAAAACGAATGATCTCTCTTCGATTTACTTTAACCTTTTCTTTAAACTTTTTTCAGTGTAATTGATGATTATTTTAATAGAAAGACATTTACAGTTATGAACAAAACACAAACTTATCAAACTTAAATTCTTCATGGATCGACGTCGCTTACAAAATAATCCTTGAAGCAGAGCGGAAAAAAGGCTTTAGGTAACTTCTTCGGATTGAACCGAGTAAAGGATATTATTTTCAGGACTTTCCCAGTGTAGAATGTACCGCTGAGAAATAGAAACGAAATCGTAATATTGCATGGGCACTGATAATTATGCAATGGCGACTGTGATTATATGAATGTGATAATTTAAACAATTGAATATCGTTTGCTGAGAGTACTGAATGCCGAAATCAAATCAAGCTTGTTTGGATGAGATTTTTTTGGGGGGAGATTTTAAGCTGTTAGGTTACGAAGCAGTTGCCATAATTCTGAATTTCCTAAATGGTAGTCAATATGATATGCAAAATACTTAAGATTTAATGAAACAGCGGAAGGCTTCCGCAGTAGGAAGTGGATTGAATATCTGAAAACCTTATTTATAAGCTCTCAGTTCAGAAACTCGCTTGAAAATTCCGAGGTTTAACTGTTGGCTTATTTTTCCAAATGATAATTTTGACTGTTAGTAAGTATGGAGTTAGAGTGTTAACGTGTTCACGGTTACTACTCCGCTAAACCAAATCAACAAAAAACATAATTAAATACCATGCATACGGCTGGTTTCGAGAAAGCATGTTAGGAAAAAGGAGAAAGTATACGCGATAGTCTCAAAAGGTGTTCTGTATGTCAGGTAATCAATGATGATTTTTGATAAATAAAAACAAGGAAAAATTCATCGAAAATCGGACACTAGTGTTCAAAGTCTCAAATCGGACGCTAGTGTCCAAAGTCTAAAATTGGACGCTAGTGTTCAAAATGTGACACTACTGTTGAAAATCTAAAGTCGGGTACTGATGTCCAAAATTTAAAATTAGTGTCTAAAATGTAAAATCGGAGATTAGAGTGACGTTTCCTCAGATTTTCCCGAATCCTGAGGCAGAGGAACCGTGACACGAAAACTACCCATAATGTCTTCCAAAGTTGTTGCGTGAACTTTTTCGCTTTTTTTCTGACAATCTTTCTCAAAACAGCTCTTCATGGGCGTTTTCACATAGAGTGTCAAAATTGATGTGGGGCTAAGTGGATGGCAACATTCCTAACCAGTTATTTTGCTTTATTTATATTTGTCCAGTCTTGCAGGGTCAGCAGAAATTAATCGGCATGTACATGGGGCATCTTCTGTTGGTACAAAGTATACTTCTTGCATTTGGAGGTGAAAATTTCAGCACAAGAATTTTAGAACACGTCTTATTATAAATCTTGGGTGAATAAGCTGGTTGCACTAAATTATATACGAAGATATTTGTTTATATTAAATGTTTAAGCTGTTTTCGTTAACTTCTTAAAGGTAAGCCAGGAGAGGTTATGGAAAGAGGAACGTAGGGAATTATAAATCTGCTCATCATATGATCTTGATCTTTAATGAGGGTGCTCCACTCATGCAAACACGGTTTTCAGGGAGGTCCTAACTAAATGTCAAAAAATATAAATAAATAAATAATAAGGATATTTAACAATTATTATACGAACGCGTGTTGGATATGAGGTGATAGAAAGCCAATTAGGCGCGTAGCGCCGAGTTGGCTGTAATCATTTCATATCCAATAAGCGCGAGTGGGATAATTGTTTTATTAAAAACGTTAAATTTAATTAAATTTTATTCAATTTTTAGCTCCTTTTAATTTTAAGCTGACACGTACGCTTGCCATATTTATAGATTATGGTATATTGGCTGATATACCATAATGGCTAAGCCAATAAAAAGTCTTGAATTGCATTATCCAATGATCTAGTTTTTAATAATGATAATTATAAAACAGATTGAAAAACCTGGGTCATAAAAGGTATAGTAATATTCCCATGTTTATTTCCGTTTTGGACAACATTCCAGATAAAGTAAATTCAACAACGGTCAGAGAAGTTTCATAGTTGTAACACCTGCTAGTATAATATGACAGCCACCATACAATGATGCGACCATACTCGCGTGGTGGCATTAACTTAGGATATGAATTGGAAGAAACCTAAAAACATTGCTCAGAAAAAAAAAACGTTTGATGCTTTGTCCTACCTAAGAAAAGCGAAAATCAAATCACTGTAAGCTGGCAGGTTTCGCAAGATTCTATCGTGCCTCGTTCGGAAGTCTCCTTAATATAATATTCTTGGCGTATCGGGTAATTCGTGTGCACACC